TCTCTCTCTCTCTCTCTCTCTCTCTCTCTCTCTCTCTCTCTCTCTCTGTGTGTGTGTATGTGTGTATTTGCTTTAAACAAATTATACCCACCAGTACTTTTTCTTTCCATCAGTGTCTATCTATAATATTACCTAGAGACAAAAATTTTAGACACTGGTTCCTTAAGGATGTGTCCCTAGAGCAGGCTTGGGACTCCTTAAATAAGACATTTGCCAACCCCAAGCATGTTTAAATTTACCATGGCCAATATGGGATTATTAGGATAAAGAAATAGATAATATGTTATGGTCTTTCAATGAATTCGAAATGCTAAGCATTTATCAGCTGTGTGTTATAAAAGTACCTAATTTCATTCATCTTCATGTTCCCCTCCTCCTTCTCTCCTTCCCTCCCTCCCTCCCCTCTCCCTCCCTCCATCCCTCCCCGCTTCCTCCACCACCTCCCAGCCTTATTGTAGCCCAGGCTCATCTAGAAGTCATTGTGTAGCCCACACTGGCCTTGAATGCTTGACAATTATTCTTCCCCAGCCTCTAGGCTCTAGAGAGTGCTGAGATGATTGAGTGAGCCTGCACATCCTTTTTTAACTAGGCTAGTTTGTGGCATCAGTTTTACGTGGAACGTTTACACACAGCCCTTTAGTCCTCTTTCATAGCAGGATGATAAAGTATGTATTGTCTCTGTTTTATTATTGAGAGGGAAAGTTCAGAATGTAAGGACTTTATCTACAGCTGCACAGGTAATGTATGTCAGGAAGAAAAGCTAACCATTTTTCTGTGGCTCTAGAGTGTTAACTGCTTCCCATTGTCTTGTTTTCTTTGCCTTGGTAGCTTTCAGTGTCACCTTTTCTTGATTCTGGCTCAATTCCCAATGGTCTACTGGAGGCCTTGTAGAAGACTGACCCCTAAGAACTGATCCTGAGAGCATGTGATTTGGAGAGATTTAGAATGGCCGGGGCAAGGGTTTGAGAATCAGGCTATGTGAAACAAGATGACTGGGAAAGGACAGAATTCTGCCAGGCACTAATTGCAATGACTCATTAATTTGTTTCTAGGTGTTTTGAAGTCTTTTGCCTCTACTGTCAGTCCAACCCGAATGAAGAGCCTTATGTGAGCATCACTAAGAAACGACAGATGCCAAAAGATGGCCTCTCAGAGGAGGTCGAGAAGGAGGTGGGCCAGGCAGAAGGCAAGATGTTTACCCACCGTTCTGCCTTCAGTCGGGCATCAGTGATCCAGGCTTTCCTAGGCTCTGCCCCACAACTGACCCTACAGCTGTATATTACCGTCTTGCAGCAGAACATCACTACTGGAAGATGTATGTATGCATGTTTTTTTTTTAAAAAATTACGCTTTCATTTGAGGTTCAAACTGAGAAGCAAAACAATTTTTATTTAGGTGAAATCCATTTAGGTGTTCATTTGTTCTGAATCTGTGTTCTCTTTGCTAACCTAAACTCCCAGTGAGTTAAAATGGTGAAACTTTTTGAAGGAGGGGTCTTATGAATCTGTATATTGGTCAGGGCTCAAAAGGATAAGTTTATCTGTGCTCTAGTGTGGACCAGCTGAGGTGGCTCAAATATGTAGGAGTTAGAATTCATTGAAGACTCATATACTGTTATGTTTTTAGAGACTCACCTCTTGTCCATGTGGGCAGAGTTTAGGCTTCCTTTACAGCATGGTACTGCTTCCAGGTGTGAAACTGAGTCATTTTTGTTGTTTTGAGCCAGCTACATGATACCTAGAGTGTTATTTTCTTTTTAACTGCAGTCTAATTTGTAAAGCAAATCCAGTAGTTTTAGTATATTTATAGTGTTGTGCCAACATAACTTACCTATCATTTTAGACTCTAAAATTTAGAACATAGAAGTAACCTACACATTATCAGTCACTATTTTCCTTGTTCTCTTGTCCTTAGCAACCGTGAATCTTCTTGCTGTTTCTGTGGATTTGTCTATTGTGCCTATTTCATGTAAATAACATCATGTACTATTACAAAGTTTTTGTATTGTTAACAAATAACATACCCTGTCTCTGTGAAATTTCATTTTGGATAGGGTAGACAGTCTTTGACCCCTTCAGTTTAGTAAGCAGAAGCTTGATCAAGTCACTGGGATCTTAGAGGATATGTTGCTCTTACACCCGGGTTACAATTCTAAGATTGTTCTGCTCTGGGAAGGTTCAGACAGCTTACCATTTGTCTTGCTTGAGGGTACCCTTCTGTATTCTACTATAGGAGGTAAAGTTGGCTGTAATAAAGAGTGTTCCATGGACACTTATTTTATGGCAGGTACTGTGCTGGACCTCGTAGCATTTGTTTCTCGTGGTGTCCCATGATGTAGAGGGTGTTCTTTTCATCTGCTTGAAGAGGGAAATCATACCTACAGTCTACTAGAGGAACCGTGAGCTAAGATTAGATTTGTGTGGTTTCATTATGGATGCAATGAGGATCTATTGAGTATGTTCTGTGTTCTAGTCTCTGTGCTTGTCTCTGGTGATAAAGTGTTAATGAAATGGACAGGCTCCTGTCACCTTGAAAGAAAATGACAGATGTGAAATAACTGATTAATCGTGTATTTGTTTTACTTCTGATAAAGTATGCAAAGTAAAAGTTAAGGAGACTTTGTGGATTCTAATCAAGGTTGGAAATGAGTCAGTTTTCCAGACATAGATTTATATTTAAAAATGGCCAATGAGGCAGAGAAGCTAGACTAAGGAAAAACAATATAGAGCATCTTAAGATTTAAAGTGTTAGCCCACATGCAATGTGAAGCCACTGATGAGTTTTAAGCGATACAGTGTCACAAGCGGATTTAGTATTAGTAAATGACCACCCTTGGAAATGAATTGGAAGATAGGGAAGGAATAGGAAGGACAGTAAGTGTGTCACTACAGTGTCTAGGGGACAGTGATAATGCATTTGAGTAGAATGGTCAGAATGGATTCTTGAAATAATATTAAAGATATGGAAAAGGAGTGACTAATTAGATATGAAGGTAAAGCAGAGGAGATGCTAAAGAGTATTTTCAGGTTTCTGCCACAGCTATAGTCATGAAAGCTCTCTCTGTACAAGAAGCAGGATTCTGTAACTTTTTTAATTTAAGATTTAGAGTTTTTACAAAATGAACATATTTAAAGATTCTATTTAGATCATGAGATAAAAAGATGTTAAAACTACCTCAAAAAGTAGACCAAAGAACAGACCTGAAGATAGAAGATGGGTGCATAAAGGGAGATAAGTCTGTGTTCAGTGGATGTCAGAGGTAGGACTAGGAGTGTGGGTCAGTGGAAGAGTGCTTACTTAGCAAGTGCATGGCCCTCCGTTCAGTTTTCATTACCATAGAAAAAAGAAAAAGGTATGGAAGAAACATAAAAGGGGCTAGGAATGTACCATAGCTCAGTAGGTAGAGTGTTTACTTAGCATGCATGAACCCTGAGTTCAGTCCCCAGAATCACACAAACCAAGTGTGGTGGTGCACACTTTACTACAGCGCTTGGGACAGGAAAATAAGAAGTCTAAGATTCCTTGGTACCAATCTGCTATATATGAGAGAGACTCTGTCTCAAAAAGGGGCAGAAGTCTTGAATGTGGCCTAGTCACTAGACTGCTTGCCTAATTTGCCTGAAGCTCTCTGAGTTTGATCCCCTACACTAACACAGAATAAACCAGGTATGGTGACACATGCCTGTAATTCAGCATTTGGGAGGTGGAGGCATGACTATCAGAAATTCAAGGCCATTTGTGTCTATATAAGAGTTCAATACCAGACTGGGGCTTCAGACCTCAGAATACCTTAAAGCTACTCTGCAAAGGATTGGAGGTATGAGAACTGTAAGGACATTTGAATCTGGTTTCCAGCAAGCAGTTTCCATGGGCAATGGCCATGGTTGGATACTAACAGTTTCATAACATTGCCAATAGACACCAAATTTTATAACTGGCTAAGATGGTAAAATTTATGTTATGCAAACTTTATCTTAATAGAAAATAGAACAAACCAGAAAAGTGTCAGTCACTGTTGTTAACAATGGACAATAACTTATCAACTGTAAAGGGATGGGGGAAAAAGCCAGCACACTAAATTAGAAATGAGGAAAACACAATAGTAAAAATGGAATCAAAAAGAACCTTACACAGAACTGGAGAGATGACTTAACTGTTAAGAGCACTGTCTCTACGCCTAGTTGTTAGGAATTTTCCTAATGCAAGCACTGTGCCTATGCAAAAATCCCAATCAAGCCAAATGACATAGAGCCAAATTAAAGGATATCCAGGTTTAATGGGATTTCTGCATTCTCGGGTGGGGAGTTGGGGGTGGGGGAGGGGTGGGGGTGGGGAGTAACAGGTGGAGGGGTGGGGAGAAAAGGCCACATAGAGACTTTCCCAGGAGCAGTTTAAATATACAAGGGGAGTGGTCAAGCTTTTGGTGGACTCTCTTGTCCCTCCTCAGGGGAGGGGGTCAAGGTTTTGGCAGGCACAGAGTGAGGCTATCTTGCCCCTCCTTGGGGAAGGGGTCACGGTTTTGGCAGGTTGCCTTGCCTCACCTCAGGGGAGGAGTCAGGTTTGGTGGGCACAGGGGCGGCCCTCCAAAGATGGAGGCCCAGACCAGGAATTACACTATTGACCTCCACATGGTGGAAAGAGAGAACCAACTCCTCAAGTTGTTCCGCGACTCCCAAATGCTTGCCAGAATATTATGCTCCCCAATAAATAAATACTAAAAATTTGAAAAAATCCATTAATTGGTACAATGACTATATGGTAAAAATAAATTTTAAGTGTTCTGTTGATGTATAGGATTCACATGAACTGATGAAAAGGGTAGGCTTGGGAGTACATTTCTGTCATTGAACTGGAAATGGCTGGAAAGTGTTTCAGATAAAGTAAATCAGTTAAGTATGTTTGTGGATGTGCTCCAAAACGGGGGGGGGGGGGGTGAGTAAGATGATCAAAATTGTAAAATCAAAATCCTCAAGGAGATATGAACACCTGTTAAATACTTAACATGTAAATACTTGGCAGATGTTAAATGAAATGGTAAATGTGATGAACAGTTCAAAGAAGACTAAAAACTAGAAACAGGAATACTGATTGGGAACATTAAGGTGACTATATCAATTGAGAGAAAGCTAGAGTCTGATACATAACCTGGAGTTTCATCCTCTGGGTAGGAGTTTTCCATTGTGTCAGAATATAAAAATCAATGGAAAGGGTTCCCATAAAAAGAGGATGTAGTCAGGTGGGCTTGGTGGCTTGCCTGTAATTCCAGCTGTGAAAGGCTAAGGCAGGATCTCTCAAGCAAGGTGGCTAGTAAGATTCTCTGCATTGGTGAGCTCTGACTTGAATTGAGAGATCTTGTCTCAGTTAATAAGGTAGAAAAGTGATCAAGGATGATTCCAGATAACAAATTCAGGGCACATATACACACACACACAAACACATGCACCCACACATACATGCAACATGTGCACATATGTATGTATAACACACTCATGAAAAAGTGGGCAATTTCTGTGCAGACTATCAGAGCTCAGTGGATACCAGTGACATCATAAAGTCTGCATTGTAACAAAGACCTCTCCTGAAGAGATAAATACGTGTGTAGTTCAGAGGCTTGGTTATTTTGAGACACCCAGGCCAGAAGAGCCGTGGAGTTCATCCGATCTCTTCAAGCAAGCGTCATGGCTGGAAGAAGACACAGAGGCTCCAGCAGAAGCAACACCTCCAGCAGACGCAACACCTCCCGCTCCACCAGAGCAGAGCTCCAATTTCCTGTTAGCCGGGTAGACCACTACCTGCGAGAGGGCAACTATTCCCGCCGCCTGAGCTCTTCTGCACCAGTATTTCTAGCCGGTGTGCTCGAGTACATTGCTTCGAACATCCTTGATCTGGCTGGTGAGGAGGCCCACGCCAACGGCAGGAAGCGCATCTCCCCAGAACACGTGTATCAAGTGGTAGAGAACAACCAGCAGCTCCACGAACTCTTTGGAAACCCCAGATCTCTGGGTGAAGAGATGTCAGAACTCAGTGAGGACTGATGGTGCCTAGGTCTCGAAGGTTGGAAGATCTACCACCCCTTCAACCTCAACCAGTCACAATGTTGTTCTAGCTGGGGGACTAATCAAACATGCTATTAAAGCATCTAAACTGAAGCCAGTGGTTCTGACTCTTTTTCGTTTGTCGTTTGGGCTAGAGACATACCCAGGAGGGTGGTGGTGCATTTGGCGCTGTGGACAGTATTGGGGATTTGATTTCCAGGGGAAATTTCTAACGGGGGACTGTGTGAGCAGTGGTCTTGGTGGGAGAACTTGGTCAAGAGAGAAAATGGGGACTGATCTAATGAGAGTTCACCAAGGCCAGCTGGACTAGGACTGAACGAGCATGTGATCAAACCGGAGTCTCTAAATGTGACTGACATGGGGGCTGACTGAGAAGCCATTGACAATGGCACTGGGTCTTGTTTTGTCTGCATGTACTAACTTTCTGGGATCCTAGTTTGTTTGGATGCTCACCTTCCTAGACCTGGAGGGAGAGGGGAGGAACTTGAACTTCCCACAGGACAGGAAACCCTGACTGCTCTTAGGACTGGAGAGGAAGGAGGGGAGGGAGTTGGGGGGAAGGAGGAGAGGGAGTGGGGGAAATGGGAGGGTATGAGGAGGAGGGGAGGAAGTGGAAATTTTTATAAACAAATAAATAAATTTTAAAAAAGAGAGAGAAAATAGAGGTCTTGATAAGAGAAAGGGGTCCTGGTGAGGTGTGAACACAGGTGGCCCTAGGAGGATTTGGCTGTGGTAGAGGGCAGAGAAGCAGGCCTGGGAGGTTGTGAGCATGGAAAACCTTGGGAGCCTAGAAATTTGGGTTGGGCCTCCCAGGCACATTGGATTCCCAGTGGAATGGTGCTAACTGGAGGGGGGTGGATGAAGACATGGACTGGGGAGGAAATGCTTCTTTGGAGGGAAGATCTCAGGTCAGAAGTCTTGGGATAGAGGAGACCATGGAAGGTGAAACACCGTTGGCATGAGCTTCCAGGGTCAGGAGTGTTCACGGAGCACTGAACAGTGATGGTGAAACCAGAAGGAAATGCGCAAACTAGGAAATATAGTCTGTGTTTTCTTTTAGATTTTAATTTTTTTGCCTTCTTCTGAAAGGTTTACACAAGGATTAGTAGGTATAGTACTAAGATGCTGTGTGGAATATATGTATAAATGCTTTTATATCATTCTTTTCTTTTTTTCTTGGGAAAAGGTCTCTCTACATAGCACTGGCTGTCCTGACACTCACTATGTAGACCAGGTTGGCCTCAAACTCACAGAGATAGACCTGCCTGCATCTCTCAATGTCTGGGACTCTCAAGGTCTGGGACTCCAGTCTTTGGCACACTGGTAAACTAAATAACAATAGTATATAAATGCTATTACCTAACATATAATTCAAGCGGAACATTAATGAATCTATAAAGATCTTCAGTTGTGAGCTGAATGTGAGTGTCATTCTCAGAAGGAGGCTGTGGGTTGTCAGTGGTGGTGTATGTCATAGAGCAATGCAGTGTCATCAGAGGCTGAGCCTGTGTCTCAAGTGTTTTCTGAATTATATATAAATCCTGTCCCAGATGTTTCACAGAAAGTCCATGAGATTATTATTAACACTCTCTAGTGCTGCTTGCACGTAGCTCTACGACCCAAATCAAGTGTACCAACAATCTATGCCCCTGCCTGTGAATGTCCACACTTGAAGTTTTCACTGTTCATCAGGTCCTGGTATGCCCCCCTATGCTGCTGTTGGCCCTTTAGACAGGACTTCTCAGAGGATGTCCAGTCAGCTTTCACAACAGCATCAGAAGACTTCAGTTTCAGGTCCCAGTGCACCACTTTCTTTCCATGTGATCTTGGACATTCCCTGTTTCCTCTGGGCAGGGAGTTCTTCATGTGGAGCTTAGAAGATAAGAATCTCCCCTCTTTGGTTTCCTGTAATAGCTGCATAGTCCTTCCCTGTCCCCGCATGCTCAGGCCACTTTTCCAAAAAGCATCTAGCTGTGCCTGGTGCTCAGTGACTGTTGGGTACTGGGATTACTGGCTATGACTAGCACCCTCTGCTGTCCAAGGGATAGGAGAGTAAAGTACAAACTATGCAGAGGACAGAGGCAGATGGCAATGAGTACATTGAGCAGGCTTTGCTTCTCTTCTTTGCTCTTTCTGGTGGTTCCCTATGCCTGGCTTATTAGAAGAGGAAAAACACAACTTGCTTTGATGCATTTACAGGAATAGTAATAGAATGAAGTGCCAGAATTGTGCTTATGGCTCTGGAAGATGTACTTAGAAAACCTGAAACAGCTTCTTGCCACATAATCCCCAATGATATTTTTGTGTGTCGAAACCCTACTCCCATGATTTCTGCCACACATATTCATGGTTCTATGGAGAGCTATGAAGTATATTTTCTTTGTAAAGCCTCTTATAAAATGCCAATTTATTTTTTAATTAGCTTCTAAGTATTGAGTTTCTTTATAACATTTTCAAATATAGCTTGTTTTTCTTGATCCCCTAGATCCTCTTCTCCATTCTCCCTGTTCTCACTTGTTCCATTCCACCCAAAGTAGTTCCCTTCCATCAGCCTTAGAGCACCCTGTGAACTTACCTCATTCTCCCCTGCTCATTCCTACTGCATCTTCCCTCTGCCCAGCAACCTCAGGGGAGATGGACAGCTCCCCTGATCACAGGATGAAGATGTTTTTAACCTTTTCCCTTCCCTGCAGTGAAACATCTCTATGTCCAGAGGTTCTGAGTTTCTTCAAGTTCTGTGGCCTTCGATGACAATAGTCATTATATTCAGAGCTCTATTCTCAAAGAATGTTTTTGGTGCAGAGCCGGCCTTGTTCTCGAGCCTGGACTATTTGGTTGGTTAGATAGCTGTCTGACTTTTAAAAGCCATTTTTTTTTTGTCTTATGACTGACTTATTGTAATCTAAAACATGGCCTCCTGGGTATGGAACAGGACAGCATGTCAGCTGAATTGGTATAAAAGGAGCTATAGTAGGTAGGTTAAACATGTCAGAAAAACAGCCCTGTGCAATCAGTCAGATCATCACCTTACAGTCCGTGTAGTAGTGTAAGAGTGCAGCCTTCCTAGTTTCTCTGAGGCTCTGCATATTTCTGGGGTTGATTTTGAAGATAGCATTTGATTCAGCCCGGCTAGCAAAGTCTTTGCAGCATCAAGAGACGTTGGAGAATCAATCAGCAGGGTTAATGACCTCCGTTTATGTATTGTGCTCAGCTGTGCCTACAGGTTTCATAGGAAACATGGGGCCCATGAAGACATAGCAGATGCTTAAATGCATTACCATGTTAGATATCTCTTATATTAGTTACCTTTTATTGCTGCGATAAAATACTGTGACCAACTTAAGGAAGAAAGAGTTTGTTTGGGGCATAGTGAGGAAATACTGGACCATAGCAAGATCAAAACTCAGTAGGGCAAACATCAAATTCTGTAGCTCCATGCCTGATGTCTAAGGCTTTGCTTTCCAAGGGTTTAGATGGTTCCACTCCTCCAGCTTTGTTGCCTGGGCTGAACCACTCCCTGTATGCCGCTCTCATTGGCAGATGCTTCACATCTCTGGTGTCTCCAACACCCTTGGGCCTTCACTGAAACCCAGGCTACACCTTCACAGCTTCATGCAATGGCCTCTCAGGGCCCCCAGCCTATTGCCTTTTCGTAGTGACTCCAGTACTTCCATACTTTGCCCAGCCATGGTGGCTCTCCGGAACCACAGAGAAAGATTCCATGACCCCTTCACTTTTGTATGGTCCATGCCCCCAAAGACAGTACCACATGGTTGACTTTCATAAATTCAGATGCCTGCTTCAGATGGGCCATCTCCCCCTTTGACAACTCTATAAAGATAGCTTTTATATGCTTTCTAGGAAGAGAAAACCTCTTAGGCTCTCTTTTGTAAGTAGAAGCTGTAGGTAGGCAAGGTTTTGCTCTGAGGGTCCCCTTCTCACCTCTACAGTATAGAGCAGGAGTCTCTGAGGCTATCAAATCCCGGAGGAGGTAAACAGATCATGGAAGGTGCCATAGTTAGTGGGCAGCAAAGTGAGAAAGTTCAGCTCCTACCTGTTCTTGAGACTCTTTCCTGGACTCCGCCCTAAACGGAGACTTACAGTAAAATGATGTTCTCTTCTAGACAGATGAAGCTCCTTAATACTCAGATAGTGGGGTCTGTCTGATTTCTAGGAACGCCCTCAACAACTCATTTTCAAGAACATCGACTGGTATCTTACTTGGGGTACAGGTTAGGAAAAATGGTTTGTTAACCAAAATCTTATTCTGCTGGACATGGTACTGACTTTCCAGTATTGACTGTTATGCAACTTAAAAATAGTTTATGTGTGTGTTTAGTCTACACGTATGCTTGTGCACTACATGTGTGCATCTCTCCTGGAGGTGAGAAAGGGGTGTCATATCCCCTGGGATTGTAGTTACAGCTGGTTGGGAACTGTCATGTGGGTGCTGGGAATTGAACCTGATTATCTGGAAGTGCTCTTGACCTCTGAGTCATCTCTCCAGCCCCTGTTATTTTTTCTCTTTCTTTTTAAAATTTATTTATTTATTTTACACCCTGACCCCAGTTTCGCCGCCCTCCTATCCTCCCTTTCCCCCTCCCCCTTCTCTCAATCCATTCCCCCTCTGTTTCTTTTCAGAAAGGGGCAGGCCTCCCATGGGCATCAACAGAGCATGACATATCAAGTTGTGTTAAGACTAAGCACTTCTCCTTGTATTAAGACTGGGAAAGGCTGTCAGCATGAGAACTAGGTTCCCAAGAGCCAACCATAGCATTAGGGACAGCCTCTGTTCCCATTGTTAGGAGACCCACAAGTAGACCAAGATACACACTGTCACATACAAGTAGATGGCCTAGGTTGGTCTCGTGAAGGCTCCCTGGTTGTTATGTTCTGACTCTTTGAGTTCCTATGAGCCATGTTAGTTGTTTCTGTTGGTTTTCTTGTGATGTTATTGACCCCTCTGCCTCCTACAGCCCTTCCTCCCTCTCTTCAGCAGGATTCTCTGAACTCTGTCCAATGTTTGACTGTGGGTTTCTGCATCTGTTTCCATCAGTTACTGGATGGAGGCTTGCTGATACCCAATTGGGGTA